GCTCTGCTCGTTGCGCCACAGTGCTGCCCTTTCTGAAGACCTAAAAATAAAGTTTCATGTCTTGAACTCAGAGTTCTTCACGAGTTAAGATCATGTCCTGACAGAAAAGTATTAAAACGACTTTACTGAGCTGAGCCTAAGAAACCCCAACACCATGTTTCTTTTTAGTTTAAAAAAAAAAAAAAAAAACATTGTTTTTTCACCCTGATAAGTTCGACAGAAAACAGATATCTGATCTGGCACTTTCAAAAGAACTTTTCTGATTATGAACAGATGCCTTCCTTTAATCTTCTCTTCACTTTGTCATCCTGCCATCAGAGCAGACAACAAATGAGTAAAAATGTCATTTCCATGGCAGGGAGCTCCACAGAAGCGCCTGGCCGGCACAGACACTCAGAGGAAGCTATTTGCTGACAAATGGGATTTGGTGCTGGGCTTCAGCAGCATTTACTGGTGGGTTTTATTGGCTGAAGGAGCACAATATCACGGCGGTTTTCTTCGCCATGCCTCTCTGGCAGAATGGATAACGTTGCAAAGAGCAGGAGGAATTTGGTCACGCAGAGGTGCTGTTAAACAGAGGCAGGGGACCAGTGAAGAGAGTGGCACTGGACAGCAGATGGAGAAAAGATCCTGCAGAAGAATGTGAGCGAATCCGCGTTCAGAGCACTGGGCCTCCTCTCATGAACGTTTGATCAGTTGTGCTGTAGTTTAAAACACATACAAGAGTTTGAGTGGAGGATGACATTTCTCTGAAAAACAAAATATGAAAACAAAAATGTGCAAAATTTAAAATGTAAAAATGTGTGCATGTTCCCTTGCAACTACTTTTGTTTTAATTATGTCCTCATTAATGAATAAACATCTTTTAGGTTGTGAGACGGTAATTCAAAAGTCCTCCAATAGGGGGCAGGCTTGTACAAGAAAGAGGACATCATGTTGCTCTCAGCAGAAACTTGTGGTGTGAGAACGAGTGGCTTCTGTTTTTTGTTTTTTGAGAATGTCATTATGTTTTATAAAACTAGCTTGAGAGCATGCAGTGCTCCATGTTTCCACTTAAGGATCGTTGCAAAATGTATAAACTATTTGTTTTTTTTATTTTATTAAATAAACAGTGTTTTTATTTATTAAATCCATTTCAATACAGCTTTAGCTGATCCAAACAAACTCTCAAAGTAAAGCTGTTATTAAACCTGACGAGAGGGTCGTTTTGTCATTAAAGGTTTTAAATCCTGTTTATTTATTATTATTATTATTAATTAAAGAATACTGTAAGTGTGTGTGTGTGTGTGTGTGTAAAAGTGGGGGCATTTTTACATAATTTGATACTATGCCAGTATCACTTACATTGTATGAACAGTAACAGTTTTATAAATGACTGTTAATACTTTAGAGTCTTTAAAAATGAATGAACAAGTCATCTATAATGCATTAGTTAATCATTTATAAATGGATTTTTATTATGAAGTGTTTTTTTATGTCACTTTGTTACTTTCTTTTCCTAAAAAAAATACAAAAAGACTGAAAAAAATAGATCAAACCATCCAAATCTGTAGGGGTATAAATTATTAATAACAAATCAAATAATGTTCTTACCACAAACATTACTATTGATAATGAAAGCTAACATAATGCATCACACGATAATTTAAAACTAAAACAAAACATTTGACAAACACAAAGAGATGGCTTCAGTTTACCCTCAAACCCCACAGCTCATGCATAACCCCCCTTTTTTTCTAGAAATGCACGTTTTCAGGTAAATGGAGTGTGATGTGGAGGAAAATGTGACTCGGGGGGTCTTTGAATGAAAAGCAGCCATCCTGAGAGCTGCTGCTGCTGCTGCTGCTGTGGGAGAGTGTAGGTGAGGAAGTGGGGGCTTCGAAACCACAGCAGGTAGGCAACAATGACAGGTTTACCTCCCCCTGCTCCTATATGGACCTGACATCCTGTCTACAAACACACACAGAAACACTGCAGCACAAAGACTCACACACTCCAGAGGACAGCTCCGGCTCTTCTGACGAGGAATCTGCTCCTGAACACAAGTAAGGGTCTGAAAATACACCGACAGTGACAAGATGTGAGCGAGAGGAGAACACCTAAACTTGGGAAACTGAACGTTTAACTGAAGCGTGGTCTGACAGGAGAAGGTTGTGACGTTATTTTATAGATCAGAGGAAGTGAACTGATTCCAGTTCAGTTTCTTTTAGGACTAAAACACCTGTATGCTGTGAAGAAAATGAATTCCCTCATTGTAATTTAAAACTATAAAGAAAAGTGGTTCTAAAAAGAGTTCTAGGAGACTTTCTTCTTCTACTGTCAGAGACCGGGTCTCGTTTTAATCTGAAGCTCTTCCTCAAACCTCTGCGCGCTCTGAATGATCCTGTTATTCTTCTCTTCTGTCACTGTGTGTTATTGGAAGAGGAGTGTCAGCCATTACAGGCCTGGCAGCTGCTCGAGCTGCAGCTCTCACACTCAGGGGGAGTCGTATTATCATACAGGATGATGGCGGCTGCTCAGGGACTGCAGGCTGGGGCCAAAGGCCACGACATTAACTCGCGCTCTAACTCTGACATGATCCAAACTAACCCTTAAGCTCAGGTCTGTGTAAAAAGAGTCAAATGAAAACTATAAAACAGGGCCGGTCAGGAGGATTAGAGAGAAAATGTCACGGTCTTCTTGGGTCTGTGAGCTCAGTAAGTCCCATTTTAATAACAGTGTCACACACAAAAAATATTTGGTAAATCCACCTACATCTTAATATTTAATTCAGTTATTTTTAATAAAGCCTCGTTCACAACATAATCGTTCCCGGGCAATAAAAATGTCAAATCCACATTCAGCTCAAAACAGATTCAAGTCTAAATAAAGTCAAATGAATCCAATTATAACACACTGCAGTCACAGAGAGTACATTAGGAAATGGTATTCAGTAGAAAGTTATTTATCTAAGGATAGATCACCATAAAGGGCATGTAGTAAAATTAATTCTGTCAATAAAACCAACCATGGCCTTCACTCACTGAAAACTGTACCTCAGAGCTTAAAACACATGTTTTAGAGTGTAAAATGAATAACCAATTAGATAAAATATATAAATAAATAAATAAAAAATGCATACAAAAAATGTTTTGCCTGTTTAGTGACATTTTAATGTTCCAATCTCGAATTAAAACCATAATTATTGGTGAGTATTTACATCTCCCATGACTTCTAGATATTTAACCATCACTTAACAGTTTTTAAAAGAAAATAAGTCTGATTTAAATTGTTTTGCATTTGTGAAGTGAAAAGGATTAGTTCAGGGTTGTCTTTTCTTTTTTTTTTAAATCTGTCTCTGGTTGTTGAGTGTTTTGACAGTGAAGATGAAGGCCGGGGTGATATGAAACCGAACCAAAACCACAAGCATGATGTGTGCAGACGATGTTCTGCAGCTGAAAGAAAACCAAAATTAGGCTACACGAACTAAAGGATATAATATATGGCAATACTGGATATAACTCAATTTATGAACTAATAATATATGTCCTTTTTGCTCTTTTTATCAGGGTGTCCACACAGCAGTGCAAGATTTATTTAAATCACACCAGCGTTGATCCAAATTGCACGAGTTTTTATTTTTGAAAAAAAAAAAAAAATGCATCAAAACCATTGACGCTGGTTAATTTGGGTGAGTTTTTGTTTTTATGAGACGTCAGAGCTGCTCAGGCGGTGGAGCGGCTGGAGATGACGCAGTTCAGTTCTCCACCGATAGGCGGCGCTGCAGGCTCTTATTGTGAAAAGCTGCAGCAACCTGCCGCTCGCGCTGCATCAGAGACGCGCAACATGTTTCAGATCAAAGAACTCTCTGAACTCACACCACTTTCATCCGAAAAATTAGAATTGTAGTTTTTTATTTCAGACATGCTGATTTTGATTAAAGCGGGGTGTTTTGTTATTTACACGCTTTGTAAAAAGGTCTGCGCGTGCTTTTCATGACTTTCTGCAAGAAAAAAATGTTGTTTTAGTGGCCCCAAGGTCATTTGAGTCACAAAGTAACACAAACAAAAATACAAACATAATTTTAACGATCTGTGAAAAAAAAAAAAAGAGTAATCGTTTTAGCAAATAAATTAATTTCCAGAGACTACTTTTTATTTAGTTTCTTTATGAATATGTCTACAAGTCCTTTCACGTGTTTCTGTGCTCTTTACACAGTCTGGTTTATTAATAATTGTCAAAAACAAAATAAAGAAAACGAACAAAAATGAACAATATGCTGTAAATGTATATGTAAATATGTAAATATGCAATAAATGTGCTGCTCATCCTTCTGCAGGTGTTTCACACAAGTTATTAAAATTGTATCATTTTTATAAAAGTGCAGAGAACAGCAGAGAGGGGAATAAAGTTTTATTTTTTAAATCATAAACTCAGATTTTCCTTGTTTTCCCCTCAGCACATTAGATTTAAGGATCCCTTCCATTTGGGCTCTATGGTTTCAAGAAGTGTGTGTGTGTGTGTGTGTGTGTGTGTGTGTGTGTGTGTGTGTGTGCGGGGGTTGTGTGGGGGGGTTGAAGAAAAATCTTGTCTGCTGTTCAAGAATCCTAAAGTAGGTTTTGAAAAGCGTGGAGTTGGAGGAAAACCCCCCGCTCAGGGTTTCCCCCGCCGCGCGCTTCCAGCTGAAGGTGCGCGTGCTGCTGGCCGGCCGCTGCGGGGGTGTCGTGAGGGACGCGCGCAGGTTGAGCTGAACGCTCCTCTGCACCGAGCTCTGCAGCCTCAGTTGCTATCCAAACACAAATAAACAGAGAGGAACAGTGGAGTTAATGATGGAGCAGGAGGGGTGGGGGGGTGGAGGCGTGCCGGAGGGGGCGGGCTGAAGCTCCACACTCCGTGAGCCCTAAAAAGTGAAGAGCCGCACACTTGCAGCCCCAGCTCCGGACGGGACTCCCACTCTGCTCCTCGCGCTGCACGCTCTCCTCCAAAGCTCCGCGCCTCTCGCCGCAACTTTTCCCGTGCCCGTCACATCTGCGCGCGCACAGAGCGGCTGCATGGCTACATGAGACCTCCACGGACTGGATGTTGGGAAGCTTTTAGCGACGCTGTGTTGGAGCTCGTCGCGCGTGTAGTTACTGTGGATTACTGACGCACCAGGAGCCTTGGCAGCGTCTTACTGGGGTAAGATTGTTTGGCAGGGCGCATGTCAGTCCTCTGCGGGGGGGCAGACTCACCTCTTTCAACTTTTTTTTTTTTAACCTAAAAGCTCAACTTTTGTTGTTTTACAAACAAATTAAAGTTAAAGCAGAAAAAAAAAAAAAGCGCACAAGTCAAGATTTTTTTTTTTTAATGACAACCAGACTCATGGTGGGACATCATACATGATAAATGTTGTGTTTTGTCAAGACATACACAGCTCGGGAACATTTTAAACCATCTGCACCTCCCCAGAAAGGAAAGGATTTAAAAAAAGACACTGGGGGGAGGGAGGGGGGGCTGCAAAAATGGAAATGAAGTCCAAAGGTGAGGGAAGAACAAGCTGGAGGATGGCAAAGAACAGCAAGTGCCCTCGCGGTGATTTATGCTGCACCTGCGCGAAATTATATTTAACCCCATCGCATGTGACAGGGAAGGCAAAGTCCAGTGGATCTGAGGTCCAGGAAAACCAGTGGGCTGACAGGAACCAGCTCCAACATGTTCCGAACCCTCTCCAAGTGTGCGCAAAACTTTGATCTCCCCCCCCCCCCCCCCCCCCCAGCTTTTCAAAACACTTCTTATAATAATATTTATCAGATAACAGCCACTGATAAGAACTAAAAGCCTTTTTTTTTTCCTGGTATTATTTTAAAATTAAATTTATTTATCTAAGGGTCAGGTCGAGACTAAACTTGGACTTTTGAAAGTGGGAGAACATAAGTGGTAAAAGCCGCAACAACCGAGTCGTGCCAGCCCCCGCAGCTCTCCTCGTGTCCCGCATGATCCAGCCGCACTGTCCGCTCAGAGTTTCACTGGAAATGTTCACAAACTGGGGGCTAAATTTAAACAAATCCAAAAATGACCCTCACAGCAAAACATCAGCTGCAATAAATATAGTTGCAAACATTATTAAGGCTTGGTTTTTGTGATCATCATCACAGAATTGGTGTTTTTAAATCCGGTTTATATTCTGAGTTAATAAAGATTTGACGCTTGTTTGGAGGCTCTTGTTTTAAATCAGAACCGTGATCCTGTCTGAGGTTCGGTCCGTGGGATTTCAAAGCACAATCTCACGCAGCGTTAATCCGTGCCAGATGAGCCCTTCTTGCACCCACCTAATGGAATTATAATTTGCACGACTAATTTCTTCACTGAAATGTTGCGCCGAGGCGCGTTTCACCGAGCCACACTTTGGATTTCAAATATTTGTTCCAAACACGGTTTTACGCATGAAGGCCACACATTACAGGCTGCTCAGTTTACTGACAGGCTCATTGCTCAAACAATAAATTAACACTAATTTGTCTTAATTATTAGTTTTAAATTAAACTATTGTTCTAACTTGTGTCCTGGTGGTTTAATTAAATATGTGAGCGCATGCGGTTTTCCTGCAGGCCACATTTACCGCAGAATTGCTGTAAACTTGCTTGTAACTCTTCTTGTCTCACACTTTCTGTGTTCTCCAGCAGAAGTCTGAGCCGACATGGGGAGCAAAGCCCTGCACGCTCCGATCCCCCTGCACCCAGCCCTGCAGCTCACCAACTACTCCTTCCTGCAGGCCCTCAACACGTTCCCCGCGGACCAGCTGCAGGGGCTGTACGGCCTCAGCGCGGTGCAAACCATGCACATGAACCACTGGACTCTTGGCTATCCGCACATGCAGGGACTGAGGTCGACGATCACGGCGGCCGCCCAGGGCCTGGTGGACCCCAGAATCCCCTTCCCGGCGTTGCCCTTCACGGCCGCGGCGCAGCTCTTCCACCCGAAGCAGGCCGCCGTGACGCACGGCGTCCCCGCGCTGCACAAGGACAGACCCAGGTTTGACTTTGCCAACCTGGCCCTCGCCGCCACACAGGAGGACCCTCCGAAAGCTGCCCATCTGGCCAAGTTGGCCTCGGGACTTGGGGGGAGCATCTCCGAGCTGAGCAAGCTGTCGCCCGAGCGGAAGCCCACGCGCGGCAGACTGCCGTCCAAGACGAAAAAGGAATTTATTTGCAAGTTCTGCGGCAGACACTTCACCAAGTCTTACAACCTCCTCATTCACGAGAGGACCCACACGGACGAGCGGCCTTACACCTGTGACATTTGCCACAAGGCCTTCAGAAGACAGGACCACCTCAGAGACCACAGGTAAACCCGAGCCGCGCGCACTTTGCGCCGTGTTTTCAGATAAAAACACGTGTTCCCTTTTGAAACATGTCTCCTGAATGAGCTCTTAGCTCCTAAATCTACTTTATTTAGCAGATGCACAGACCTGCTCCTAAAGCTGTGAGGGCGCTAAAGATGTTTAAATAAATCTTGTGGACTGTTTAAACTTTAGGAGAGTTAAGTGTGAGGCATGAGACACCTGTGAGTAAATCCGTGCTGATGACGTGTGGTTTCTGTTTCCCAGATACATCCACTCCAAGGAAAAGCCTTTCAAATGCCAAGAATGTGGGAAGGGATTCTGTCAGTCTCGAACTCTGGCTGTCCATAAAACCTTACACATGCAGGTAAGCTCCAGATAAATAACGGAAACTGATCATGTGATGTGGCTGCTGCATGCATGGGGACACACCAGTTAAAATAAAAAGGCCAAACCCCAGAAATATTAGAGAAGCTACTGTGGAAGTCAGTGAATTAGAGCTGAGAGCAGGTATTCTTCTATACAATTAAAGGGAATAATCCTGTGCTTGCTTTAAATCTAAACAGGAGTCTCCCCACAAATGCCCCACATGCGGAAGAACCTTTAATCAAAGAAGTAACCTGAAAACTCACCTTCTCACCCATACAGACATCAAGCCCTACAGCTGTGGCCGCTGCGGAAAGGTGTTTCGGCGCAACTGTGACTTGCGACGGCACAGTTTGACGCACAGCCCGCATCAGGACTACTAGCCTGGACAGACTGACAGAATAATAATAATAATAATAATAATGAATGAAAGAAAGAAAAAAACGGACAAATCCCAGAAAGACAAAGCAACGACTTGTTGTCCGTCAGAGACACTTTTCACACGAGCACACGTTTACTGGCAGCAGCTTCCTATCCACATGTAAATAAAATGTACAAAATGTTGTTTTTATTGTTGTTTTCCTGATTTTGAAATGTTAAAGTTGTGAGAAAAAAAGTTATGTTTAAAGTATGTTAAATTGTATTGTAGAAATAAATATTTCCAGGACGCACGCGCTCTTGTGCTGTTTTTATTTGATGTGTTTGGGCCTAGAACCAACGTTTGCATCCAACAAGTTCTTGTCTGTGCACCATCCGAAGATCAGCTGAAGCTCTTAAAGGAGGTTTTAGCTGTTTGAGCACTTCAGATTGTGAATATGAGCAGAAATAATTAAGACTAAATTTGTTATAAGTTACTCTCTTCCACATCAGAGGCTGATGATATTCGCAGCACCTTTATCTGCCCGGTGCACCTCTGATTATTGACTCAGAGCAGAAGGAGCCACCTGCTCTGAAGCATTTTAATAGAAATGAACAGATGTTCTGTCACATCTGGGCCTCACTGACTCTAATGAAGACAGTTTCTCTGTCGCTAACTTTATTACACATAGACCGTTTGAACTGTTGGACATTATTTCTCGTGGAGATGTTAATTTGAAATGATAATGTGGGTTTAAGAGGAACTGCTGAAGGCTTCAGGTGATGTTTTACATGCAAGTGTGGATTTCCTCCAACTAAACTTTGACCATCGGAGCTGCGGGCTGGAACAGGAAGAGCTGAGGATACCAAGTTCTTTAAAAATAAGTTCTGTGGTTTTGTGTTTCGTGGCCTTCAGGCCCGTTGTTGTTTTGTTTCAGCAGCAAAATCTTTAATGCACCAATCTTTATTATTATTTTTTTTTTACCTGATTATAAAATTTACATTAAACTGGTAGCTAATATATATTTTTGAAAAAGCTTGCAAACATCACAGTTTGACAGAAAATACATGGTGTTGAAGAGGAGGTGTGAGAAAAGGCTTGATGCTGCTGAGGATGAGTCTCTTATTTCCACATGGGAAGACAACATAAAATAAAATAACATAAACACCCTAACATGCAGAATTTCAGACACAACTGTGATACTGAAAAATTATATTAAAAAACACACTATAATAAAAAATTTTTTTTTTAATACAAACAAAATTTTTGAATGCAAACAATTTTCAGTAAACGGAAACAGCATTATTGATAAAGATTTACAACAACATCCACAACACCAACAACAACAATAATAAAATAATAATAATAATACTCTGACAATGTTACATTGGGATGGAGTTGTTTAAAACCTGTTTGTGACAGTGATTTGATAAATGTATCCATTAAATAAAATAGCCTAAATAACTAAATAAAAATGAGTGAAGAAGTTAATTTGCAATTACTTGAATTAATGAATGATATGTTGCAACTAATAATAATTTTAAATAAAATGAGGTTTTTCTTTTTTCTTTTCTCAGAACAGTGCATGTTTTCAGCTGCAAATCTTTGTTCAGGAACATGAAAAAAATATTCCCAAGAACAACAGAAAATAATGTTTATAGCTGGCTTTAAAAAACTAATATTGTGTGGAATCATCATCATCATCATCATCAGTATAATAATATTAATAATTATTATTATTATTTGTGAGTAAAACTCAGACTCTGCTGTAATAATAAATGCATGTCCTGAACTGGTTAAGCTAAAACAATCTGGAAGTCTAACAGCAGTGAATATGTTCACAGCAGGACAGGGACAGGTTGGACAGGGACAGGTTGGACAGGGACATTTTGGACAGGGACAGGTTGGACAGTGGGCTCCTCTGCTCTGCACCTTCACTTCTTGTGCATGACCTGACACTGACAAATCTGCGTGTTCACTTGATTAAAAAGAAAGAAAGAAAGGAAGGAAGAAAGAAAGAAAGAAAAAGAAAGGAAGAAAGGAAGGAAGGAAGGAAGGAAAACTTTGGTAAATAAATAAATATCACCTTTATGATTTAAGATGTTTTTTTTTTCTAATCTTCTTTGATTTAATTTTCACTTCAGCATGAATTCAGTCTAGTATTATATTATCCTCAAAAACAAGTCAAGCAACATTTTTCTTTCCAATTACAGGAAATTAATATTGAGGAAAACATTTGACATGACTCATCCAAGTGGATATTTTGTCACAGGCTTAAACGCAGCCTAAAACTGTTTACTAAAATATCCGGTAGCCTCATGCAGTGCCTAAATATAATGACGGATATTAAATTAAAGTATGTGTTTATGGCACGTGACTCTTATTCAAAAGGACGGTTTAGCTCAGTATCATTGTCCCTTTTGATGTTAATTGGAACTTTTCAGACAGCCCCTAATTTTGCACGTTTTATTATTATATTAAAAATCACCTTAATCTAAATGCAAAGTAAATTTGACCATACTCTTTCAATGACATTCGCAGTAATTCTGGCATTACAGGAAAAAAAACAAAAACAAAACATTAGTTGCGATGAAACTGTTTTTGTTTGTTGTTGTTTTGTTGTTGTTTAGAGGAAATTTCTAACGTGATGCAATTGGAACGCTTCAACGGCCACAAAACGCGTAAGACAAAAGTCCCAAACTGTGCTTTCTACCTTTTTCATGCTCAAGAATACTAACATTTCCAAGTACTTATCTTTATAAAAACAAAACAAAACGAAAAAAACAAAAGGATGAATCACCCATTAAACCCTTTGAAAAGCATTGCATAATCTGGGGCTAAACAAATCATCTACGCAAAGATTTCCACAGTTTTGCTTGGCTCCGTTGAGTCCGTCTGCGATCTGAGTTGCGAAAGCCATTTTTCCTACAGCCGCGAAGGCAACAGTATTCTTACGGAAGCCGCGTTGGTGTTTACAGATGACGTTGTACAGAGATGTCGCTAACAAGATAAAGACGTTTCATTAAACGTCAAATTAAATAAACAGACGCTGGATAATAGCGAGAATCAAGTAAGAAAAGCTTTGTTTCATTAACGATCTATGCACTTGATTTTGCGGGACTTCCTAGCTCTAGTTTAGCTTCTTTGCTAGGCTACTGGGCTTGCTTATTGACAGTCACTCGAGTTAGCCTCTCTCGCTAAGCGTTCTTGAGTTTGTGAAATTTATTACGCAGAACTACAGTTTTCTTTACACTCCCACCGATTTATTTAACGCAGTTATTTACCCGTTAACACGTGCCCTTCTTTAAAAGTGAAGCCACATTAGCTAGCAGGCTAACTAAAGCTAAGCACTAACAACTGCTAATGAACTTATTCACCGAAAACCTGAGAGCAAAATGTGTTCTTCTTTCGAGTATAAACATAATGTAAATAAGCGTACATTCCCATCAATCGTATGATTTGGTTTGTTTCTAAAAACACATTCTTGGGACTAGTATAAAACATTAATCGAGGTCATTAATTTCTTAAATTTGGCCTAAATACCTCAGTGGTCATAGTGTGTAAACACTAAGGCAACTTTATTTGTATAGCACATTTCACACCAGGACTCAAGGTGCTTTACAGAATAAAAACAAGTTCACAGGAAAAAGACAAAACTATCTATACACACACACCAGGATACAACGTTCAGAAATCTACAATAATATTTTTTTTAAAGCAGTACTAAACAGTTAAAATCAATTAGTTAAAAGCAATAGAAAACAATGTTTAATTTAGATTGAAATGTGATCAGATCAGACTCAAGCCTGAGCTCTTCAGACAGGTTGTTTCATATGTGAGGGGCATAAAAACTAAAAGTTTCACCACGGTTGATTCTGATTTGTGAAACAACTAATAATCCTGTGTTTTGCTGATCTGAGAGGTCTGGGCAGTTTGTAATAACATTGATAAGATACATCCAGATTCATAAGATTGATGTCATTCAAAACCATCATGAGGGCAGTCTCTGGACAGTGAAATGGCCTAAATCCAGACTGAAAGATGTCAAGGTATTAACTGTTAAAAACTTTTGTTAGTTGAAAAACTTAAGAGATGAAACCATTTCTTTGAGATCAAATCGGTTTATAGGTTAAAAAAGGGTTTTCTTTGTCAAACTAGTTCTGAATAATAATTGAGAAACCTTCAGCTGGGGCGTTGGAGGAATGATAGCATGCCTGATCCTTTTGATTTTTTCACTAAGAAAGAGAACAAAATCATTACATGGTTTAGTAGAATTAAATTCATGGGGGTGGGGTTGATATTTGTGTACAGGTATTCGTGAGTTTATCCACAGTAGTGAACAGTTTGCATGTGGCCAGCCTAAGGCACATCTGTGCAACAATCATGTTGTCTAATCAGCATCTTGATAGTCCACACCTGGGAGGTGGATGGATCATTTCAGCAATGGAGAAATGCTTCCTAACACATAATATTTGAGAGAAAAAGGCCTTTTATAAAAGGTCTCAGTTATTTGAGTTCAGCTCATGAAAAATGGGAGCAAAAACCAAAGTGTTTTTATATTTTTGTTCAGTAGTATGACCTGTGGGCCACTCCTCCACAGTGCCTTCCATTTTCCAGAAACTGTTTTTATCCGAACTTTAACAATGTCATTAAATGCACTTGTTATTTTAGAAATAAAATGATCTAGTAGGGTAATTAGTTGACACTGACAGAGAATGAGAGTGTAGTATGATAATTTCATGAGAAAACAATACCTGACTAAATTCATTGATATTTTTGACAGTATGTGATTGAGAGAGATGTATAAGGTGTTTTCAATGTCTTTAATTATCACTCCCAGAAAGCTGTGAGCTGTCACAGACTACTGATGTAGAAGTTACACACCTGGATAGAGCATAGCCTTAATTACGCTTCAGCTTCTGTTGTTTAACTTGTCAAGTTAGACTTTCTTTTGTGACAAATGTCTCCTCTTTACCATGGGCTTCAAAACGATATTGTACGAAATGCACATCATGAATTGACATTGTAGTGTGTTGTTCAATGTCTGACTTGTGTTTACAACAGAGAGAAGATGTTGGAGTCGTATGTCACACCGCTCTTGATGAGCTACGTGAACAAATACATTAAGAACCTGAAGCCATCAGACCTGCAGCTTTCTCTATGGGGAGGGGATGTCGTGCTCAGCAAGCTGGACCTGAAGCTGGATGTACTGGAACAGGTACTGAATGTTAAATGTCTGTTTTGCTGAATCATTCTTTTAGATTAAACCAAGACATGGTAGCGGGTATTAAGAGACATGTTTCAGTT